TTGGCGAGCGATGTTGCCATTTAACCACATGTGGAATTTAACTAGATCATTCAAGGTCGATTCAACGGCTTTTTTACGTTTCACTTGTTTATGCTTCCGATGAATATTTGGTATTTTTTGTTCAGTTTGTGCCTAGATGTGAATGCAATACCTTATGCATTTTTGTAAATCTGAAATTGTGTGATTTAGTTATTGTTTTCTGGATAAGTGAGGTAAGTTTTCAACAGTTTTATATATTTTATTATTATTATTATTATCAGCACTGTAACCGGCTCAAATCAATAGAATTGGGAAATTATGGACTTGGTAGTTACCGAAAATTTTCCAATGCGTTAGGATGGCCCATTACCTCCTAAACGCTGAGGTTTAGTAAACAAGCAATACTTACAAAAAGTTTTTGACTTTTGTTTGACGGCTCATAGCTTAAAAATGGTTTGTTTCTGCCGGGCGACCCAAAATTACAGGGTACCCCACTCTCTGTTTTTTTAAATAAGACGCCTTTAATTTTCCAATTTGATTTTCAAAACGAAAATAGTAGGTATATTACATACCGAAGTGGGACGTGTTTCATTACTGTCAAGAAATTAGTCAGTTAACTGAGACGCGAAGCGAGACAGGAATGAAACTCCACACCGAGGTTTGTATTCTACTTTATTTACAAGCATCATAATTTTTACTAGATACTAAATGAAAAAAAAAAAAAAAATAGAGGGTGGGAAGTAGAAAATAGAGGGCGGTGATGAGAAATAGAGGGCAGGAATGAAACAGGGGTTGGTAATGAGAGAGTGGGAAGTAGAGGTAGGTAAAGTGACACTTCCAAACCTTCAATCAAGTGAGTAATGCCAACATTACATGTATGGTTGTCAGTAAAATATATATTTTTTCAAATTGTCCCCCTATTTTTTTTTCTCCATAAGTTTCTCCTGTTGTAAAAGATTTTAATCTTTCTCAAACATTCCCTATACTACCTATCTCTATTACCAAGTTTTCCAGATTCTTAGAAATTTTATAGAAATTCAGAATATAATTGGCTGATTTGCTGGTCCTTCGATTTTAGTAGAGATGGAAAATTAAAATTTTGAAAGCCTGCGGTCGATCTCAACGTGTTGCAACTTCTTCCCTTAAAACAAAATTTTGCTGGTCAACCGTTTCTAAATAAAGACAAAGGCTTAACATTTTTCATGTAGATCGGTTCCATGAATAAATAAATAACTTATTCTTTTTCAATAAAATGATTATAAGTCAAAAAATTAAATTTGAAAAAAAAAACTACCTGAATATATGAGTTTAAAATATGCATGAATTGCAATTGAGTGTCGTCATAGCGTAAGCTGCGATCTAGACGCTGATATTTGGAGTAGGGTGTTTTTATAGATAATCATACAAACTGTATTTTTCCTACGAGCGTGCGGAAAAGTTACTTTTCCGCACGATTTTTCATTTGGAAAGTTGTACTTTTCCGCACGATTTTACTTTTCCGCACGATTTTACTTTTCCGCACTATTTTTTTACTTTTCCGCACGATTTTTACTTTTACTGAAAAGTGTACCCATATTAAAGTTCGGAGGCCCCCTATTTGGGGGGCGGAGCCCCGCAGTGGTCCCCGATTTGAGGGGCATAGTCCCGCAGGGGCCCCATTTTTGAAGGCTGGGCCACTTTCTGGGGGCGAAGCCCTGGGTGCCCCTTTTGGGGGGGGCGAAGCCCCTTGTGCTTCTTTTTTGGGGGGGCGGAGCCCCTTATTTGGGGGCACAGCCCCGCTGTGCCCCCTATTTTGGGTGGCATAGCCTCGCGAAGGTAGGGAATCCTAACAATTTTTTTGACCAATTTAGTTATAGGCCAAGGATCATGATAAAAAAATCCGGTTCCATTATTTTTCTGTGTATAAAAAAATCGTGCGGAAAAGTAAAATCGTGCGGAAAAGTAAAATCGTGCTGAAAAGTTACTTTTCCGCACGATTTTTTTATTGCTAAAAATGAAGATATTTAGGATCAAATAAATGATTTATGTTATATATTATTTTATATTATGTGCTATTTTGTTCCATCATTATAAAATCTTTGCGTATTGGAGCATTTTTTTTGATAAATAAGATGGACAAAAGCACTCGTAGGAAAAATATTGTACCTAACTCTTGCGGAAAATGTCTTTTCCACCATCGACGGCTTGCCCGTACTCCGCTCCGCGTCGTTCGTGCAACTGCCGTCTCGTGCGGAAAAGTACCACTTTCCGCACTTGTTAGGTGAATAACTATTTCTACGAGCGTGAGGGAAAATGCGGTGCGGCAAATTTTTTTCCGCACTGATATGTCAAAACCATTAAAAAATTTCTTATGCTTAATATGCAATATTTCGCTCGAAGAAAAACAATTGTTCCTAACACGTGCAAAAAGCTTTTTTTCCGCACTTAACTGCTTGACAGACCTTTGCAGTTTGCATGCAGTTGCGTGCGAAAAAAACGATTTTCTGCACTTGTTAAGAAAATACCTATTAAAAATTAAGGAGATTCCAATTAACAGCAAAAATAGTGAGATTTAAAAAAATATATAGGTATTCCCGGTTCAAAATGTTTTTTTTTTTCAGTTATCTCTGAACGTTTGTAGATAATGTTGACCCCGCCTAATAGGATTTCACACTTGACAATGAAAATAGCTGTTCACTATTCACAATAATCTATCTATATTTTCGTGTAAGTAATCCTTAGTTTATTTTCAGCTTCATCAAAATGGAGACGCGCTCCAGGAGAATTCTAAACTTACTGAATCTACCTAAATATGAAACCACAAAGGGCTTGCCAGTTGCTTTAAGAAACAAGGCCATAAGCCTAACGAAAGGTATATCTTTGCTATTAAAACAAAAATTACAAATCGTCAAATGATAGGCACAATCACTAGGTCGGGTTAATTTTCTCAATTTTACAGTTTCTGTTGCAAATTTTTCTCTACAAAATTGCCGGATAGATTTTTGATCCGACTCTCATTCTTTCGGAACCATCATCGGCTAGCACTGATGATATTTTTCTAGTCCGGAATGTTGGACAAGTGTTAAGTGCGATACGACGTTGAATTTGAAAAAGCAGATGATGGGGACTTAGAGATGAAATGTCAGATATTAAATGTAATTACTTAATGTAACAACAAACACAAATAGAATCAAATTTTAAAAATTTCTTTTTCAGCTCACAAGTCTGTCTCTGTCTCTTTCTCTTTCTCTTTCTCTTTCTCTTTCTCTTTCTCTTTCTCTTTCTCTTTCTCTTTCTCTGTCTCTATCTCTGTCTCTGTCTCTGTCTCTGTCTCTGTCTCTATCAAATAAAAAAATATAAAATATCTAGAGCCAAACACTACATACATACCAAATTTCATCAAAATCGGACCAGCAGTTTTTGAGTTACGCACGTTGCTAGTTACAGACAGACAGATAGACAGACAGACAACGCGACAAAAAAATTTCAAAATCATCTGAAACACAAAGCTATATAAAAAAAATTGACATCGGAGCAACTTTTTTTTTTGCACGATCACCATAGTTCACTACTATAATATAAATCCGTTTCTATTTTTTTCTAGACTTATTTGAAGATATTTTTCAAAACAAATTTAATGGCACTTCCGACTTTTCGTCTCAGAGCGCCCATCATGGACTTTATTAATTTAAATGCGGCCCTGCTTTTTAAATATTTTTTTCAGAGCCTTTCTAGTTCCTCAAAGCATTGACCTATCATACCTATGGAAAATATTAAAAGTGATAATATTGGTGATTTATTATTTCGCAGATGATAAGGCAGTCCAGATGTTAATATCGAACTTAGCTAATGATAAACGAAGGCACACGTATTTTCAGTATTTTACATACATCTCGTTAGATAAAGATGGACTTAGGGATAAAATACTGTATTTAAGAGAGATAAGTTGATTTACTTACTTCAATCCATATTTTTCAAGAAAACTGTGATGCATCGATAGGTATAATAGGTCAATGCTTTGCGGAGTTAGCTAGACTCTGAAAAAAATACTCAAAAATGCAGGGCATTTAAATTAATAAAGTTGATGATGAGCTTTGAGACAAAACGTCGGATTTAAGATGGTGTTATCTTGCAGAGGAAAATAAGTGACAATGATGAATTGCCATTTGCTTTTAAAAATCTGTACAAATAAGTCCAGAAAAAAATAAGAACGCTTTCGTAAATTTCACATTTTTTTATATCCCTGTCAACAAGTTGAAAACTGCAAATGTTATTGTTTAAATCAACACCCAACACCAGATATTTATTTCGAGATGCGCCTTTTCGTAATGTATCATAGAGCAAGTAAAAGTTGTGAAAGCTTGATGAAATACTCCGTTCTGAATATTCTTTATATTTCAGAACAATCTGTTTTCAAGGAGAAAACTTCCGTAGAAATTCCAAATGTATCAATTTCATTTAATGGGAATGAAATTCCTCCCGATCCATCAGCTGGTGCATCCCAATTTCTGCCATCTATTGAAAATGAAATTCAGATAGAAAAAGAGTCAAGTTCAAACAGAATAAGTAATGTAAATAGAATTCCTCCTGATCCATCAGCTGGTCCATCCCAATTTCTGCCAGCTATTGACAATGGAATTCAGATAGAAAAAAAGTCCAGTTCAAACAGAATAGATAATGGTATTCCTGCCGATCCAGCAGCTGGTCCATCCCATTTACTTCCAGATATTGAAAATGAAAGGCAGATAGGAAAAGAGTCAAGTTCAAATAGAATAAATGATGGTAATGGTAATCCTCCCGATCCAGCAGCTAGCTCATCCCAATTGTGGACACCTATTAAAAACAAAAATCAGACAGAAAACCCCTCAAGTCCAAACAGAATAAGTAATATAAATAGAAATCCTCCCGATCCATCAGCTGGTCCATCCCAATTGCTGCCAGCTATTGAAAATGAAAATCAGATAGAAAAACCGTCATGATCAAACAAAATAAATATTATATCGCAAGTTATATTCCAACCAGATCCTTCAACGTACTCCAAAATGTCCCCAACTAGCGATAATTTTTCGGAAGACAAAACAAGTGGAAGTGAATATTTACCATCAGAAGATGATTCTGATACATGTGACCAATCAAACAAAACAGATTTTAGGTATATCACTGAAAACATCAGGCCAGTAAGTACTAAAACTGTGCGAAAGCGAATCACAGTGAACAAAAAGAGAATCATCCGGCAAAATATTTTTACTCCACAATCCAATATAATGCCAGATTCCACAACATCTCCATGCGCGAATTTTATAGCTTCATCCCCTCCATTTAGTCTGTGTAGTTCTAGCGAGGTTAGTACTCAGCAAACGTCTTCAAACATACCTTCATCAACTTGTCATGATATAAACAGACCTTCATTAAGTTTTCATGATATGAACAGACCTTCATCAAGTTTTCATGATTTGGACGAAGGATCTGCTATTGGTGAACGAGAACGTACCATCAAAGTTATTGGAGCTACTAAAGAAAAAGGAAAATTAGTTCGCAATAAAGGCCAAGCTTGCTATTTTTGCCAACGAATAGTCCAAAACGCGGCTAGACATTTTGAGCTATTACATAAGAGGTAGCTAAATTATTAGCCAAGCCGAAATATTCAAAAGAAAGAAGAAATGGTTTCGGTAACCTTATTAGGGTGGGTAATTTCTACCACAACACCGAAGTTCTGGCTACAAAAAAAGGCAACCTAATATTAGTTCGACGTCCAACAGAAGATGAATCAAGATTTTCGACCGCAACAGACTACGGACCTTGCCCGTTTTGTTTAGGATTTATGTTGAAAAAGCACCTATGGCATCACGTAAAAAACAGTTGTACTGCTAAGCCTCAAAAAGACGATCAGAATACTGGTCGGCACGTTATTGCTGAGAGTCATGCCTTATTAAACGATGCATTTGGTAGAGATTTCTCAACTGATTTTGTTGCGAACATATTGTCCAAATTACGAGATGATGACATAGGAATATATTGCAAGGAAGATCAATTAATTCAACGATATGGTGCTATGATGTTCGAGAAATATGGAACCACACAATGCGAACTAATAAGACAAGGGATGAGACAACTCGCTCGCTTAACTTTAAAGTTGCGTGAAATTGACAAATCAAAAAGGCAATTGACAGATTTTCTTGTACCAGAAATGTTTGATCTAATAATTCAAGGAACGAAATCTCTATGTGTCACACATCAAAATATTGCACTAAGACCTGAATTTGAGTTACCGTCACTAGCATTGAAAATTGGGTACGCGTTGAAAAAATGTGCCGGAATAAAACGTGGTAGATGCTTACGAGGTGGAAATTTATCTGGCAATGAGTCATTGTTATGCTTTTTAAATCTAATGGAGTTAGAATGGAGTACCAGAGTCTCATCGAATGCTCTTGCGACTATGTATAATAAAAAAATTAATGCTGCTCAATTGTTGCCATTAACACATTGACGGACGTGTCTGCAATTGCAGACACATGTGTAGGGACAGGACTGCGATAGCAGACGATTACTAGACCACTGAAAATGCCGCGTCTGGTATAGCAGTCGCCATGCCCATAAGGAATACATAGAAGGCGTAGGCAAGTGTCCCTATACATCAAGTTTATTATCAGGGAAGTGTCCCATGAAGGCATTTGATTTGACCTTCAGACCACTGTACTACCCCCACTTACTTTCACACTTGTCGCGTCACGTCTGCGAAAGCAGTCAGTCGCCCCATAAAGTTTGTACTGTGAGGTTCTTTGTTGCGACCAAGAGTAATTCCACACGTTTCGAGTACGTTTGAAGATCCTACGAGGAATTATTATTTTTGGCAGCGGCAGTAAGTATATTTAGCTGTTTAGTTATTTATTGTTTTCAAGAACTTCACGTATTTTCACTGTAAAGTAATCATTCTTCCAGGCCGTGAAAAAAATGGACCCCAAAGAGGAAGCCAGATTACTAAGGCTTTATGATGAAGTTGAAACTGAAATAGAAGATAACAATGATGAAAACGAAATCGACAGTAATAGCGATGAAGATCCATATGCTGGATCAGATGATAGAGACTTGGATTATTCTCCGACAAATGATAGTTCTGATTCATCTGACGAGCCTAACCTCAATCTAACTCCACCAACTGCCGTAAATCCTGTCGTAAATCAAACTAATGTAACAGATGCAGAAGGTTCTAGTTCTGATGAAAGTGATGATTGGGAAGAGACTTATGATGATATACCAGACTTCCAGTTTGATCATGCTGCTTCAGGGGTAAAATTACATTTTGACCATGAACCTTTACCTCTAGAAGTTTTCAAGTCGCTTTGGACTGATGAAGTAATGGATCTGATTGTAAATTGTACAAATGGATATGGTCAGAAACTGGAAAAATCAAATCGCCCCAAACCTAAAAATTCCAGAACAACTAGCTTTGCTCTAACTACCAAAGAAGAACTTTATAAATTTATTGGAATTTCTCTATTGCAAGGACAGATTCGATTCCCAATACTGCGAAAACTTTTCTCATATGATCCATTATACTACCATCCTGTGTTTTCCTATGTTATGTCGGGACGCCGATATGAACAGCTGCTCAGATGTTTCAACTGCACCAACGACAGAGACAATACTGATAGACTCAATAAAGTAAGTGAATTATTGAAGATTTTGCTTGGTAACTATCAGAGTGCTTACACTCCCGAAGAAGCCTTGTCACTAGATGAGTCACTATTACTACATAGAGGGAGGCTGAGCTTTAGGCAATATATAAAGGGAAAAAAAGCAAAATATGGGATTAAGTTTTACGAGCTGTGCACAACAAAAGGTTATACTTGCAACATCGACATCTATAAAGGTAAACAAGCAGAAGAAGCAAATATGACAAAGTTACAGTCTCTCGTGTTCAGGCTTCTTTCACCTTTCTTAGACAAGGGACATCACGCTATCATGGACAATTATTATAACAGCGTTCCTCTAACAAACAAATTACTTGATCGGAAAACTCATACAACAGGAACCCTTAGGTCAAATCGCAGAGGAAATCCTAAAGAAATTACCACTAAAAAACTCAAGAAAGGTGAGCATAAATGGTTGCGAAAGGGCAAAGTGTATGTGTCCAAATGGAAAGATAAGCGGGAGGTATTGATGATTACCTCCAAATTTCATCCAGAAATGATTCAGGCAACTAATTCCTATAACCAAACTAAATTTAAACCAAAAGAAGTCTCTGAATATAACCTAAATATGGCAGGGGTCGACAGAAGTGACCAGTTGACGTCTTATTACAGCTGCCCACGAAAATCGATTCGCTGGTACAAGAAGGTGATGTTTCATCTGATAGATGTTACTGTTGTCAACAGCTTTCTTCTTTATCGGGAAATTACTAAATCGAAAATGAGCCTTCTTAGTTTTCGAGAGGCTGTCATAAAGGGTCTACTTGAAATTTCAGCAAATGTTAAAGATGGCCGGAAACTAGTCAAGCATGGGGCCATGAATAATCCCAGAGAATGTTCAAAACCATCCCTTATTGCACCTCAATTACCTTTACAACATATTTTGGAAAAAATTCCCTTGCCTGAAGGTTACAGCAGAAAAAGTTACTTTTTGAGATGTCGCCAATGCTCGAAAAATGGGAAAAGGGGACAGACATCATGGCGGTGTTCTGCATGCAAAGATAAGCCACCCTTATGTGTTGGAACTTGTTTTGCAAATTTTCACTCATAATATGTTTTTTCACGAATATTTTTCTATAATTTGACGTTTTATTTTTGCATTAAATGTTTTTTTTAAGGGTTTTCAAAGAAAATATACCTTGTTTATTCATGTAATAATAATTTTATAATAAAGTCTATAAAAACGTTCGCAGTTTATTCTTCATTTAGTCAACATGTGTTCTTACTACAACACGTCTGCAATAGCAGTTGTGTGTCCTAGCACATACAAATTTTCAATGTTTAGGGACATGACTGTAATAGCAGACACTCGATTTTTTGCTGTAAAAAAAATCAAAATCTCTCTTCTAGATGCTGACTAGTACTTATTTTTACCTAAAAAAAATATTTTTTACAGAAAAATAGGTGATGTTCTCAGTAGATTCAAAATGATCTAAGTGCCCGCGAATGTGTTAACAAGTGATTTGATCAAACTTAGTAGTTATTTAAATAAGGAAATGGCAAAAGAACAAATTTCTCTTACAGAATGTCTAACAGTTAAGTCATGGAGCCGACTGGCTTTTTTAACTCTAAGTAAGATAATTCTTTTTAATAAAAGAAGATCTGGGGAAGCCGCACGAATGACACTTGTTGCCTATTCGTCAAGGCCTAAATGGTCTGATCAATCTACAGAGGAGCTAAAACATTCTCTCACCGACTTTGAGAAAAAATTAGCCGACCAGCTCACATTAGTAGAAATTGTCGGTAAACGAGGTAGAAAAGTACCAGTACTTCTAACGCAGGACGTTAAATCTTCAGTGGATAAACTCATCCAGACCAGAGGTGAAGTGAACGTTTCAATTAAAAATCCTCGTTATAAGATAAATATCTATTATATTATGGTTTATTAACGATATTTTTATTTTTGAAAGGTGACAATTGTTATGCTCTAGACAACTGTTCATGAGCATGAATATATTGCAGCAAAATTTAATTTCAAGAATAAAACTTTAATTTATTAGGGACCGTCAAATTCACGGATTTAACATTAAGTGTGGAAATAACACTAAAACAGTTGCATGAATTACTCTATAAGAAACAAAGAATTTAACTTCAAAAACTACGCCTCAATTTAACTCTAACAAAAACCTTAGTGAAGTACCTACTTACAATCATTATAAGTCAAAACCATTTTCACCGAAAGTAAAGCAGCTGTAATAAAAAACGGTTATACAGTGTGTCCAAGATAAGGAAGGAAAAGCATCTGGATATAGGAAACGGTAAGAGATGCGGGTTCGTTAAATTAGCAAATTTTTATTCTCAACCGTATGTCGTTTAAAAAGCTTTGAAATTCCTAGTGATTCCGGAGATCTTTAGAAAAATCCGAAACTTTGCAAAATCTTTAAAAAATTTCCTAACTCACTTATGTACCCATTTTCTCCGTTCTATCCAATAACTTAAACACTTTTGCAATCCTATGTTTCGTCTGTGAGGGCCCATCATCAACTTAATTTTTTTTTAATATAGCCCTGTTATTTTTATGGCAAAATCTAATCCCATTTTTAATAATTCTGAATTAGATTTTGTCATAAAAATAGAGGGGACGCGGACGCCTTAAAAAAAAATAGTTGATGTTGGTCCCGGACGAGACATCGGTTTACAAAAATGTTTCCTTATTAGATAAAGCGGAAAAAGTGGCGTAAATGTGCAATTCATTTTAAAATTGGTTTAATAATAAAGCTAGAAAAAAATTGTGAATTTCAAAACCTATTAAACGACATACTGTTGAGCATAAGACTGTGCAACTTCTTTCTAATTTAACCGAAGCTTTTCCTATATCCTAATTCCATTCCATCCTCATCTTGGACACACTGTATACATACTACTCAATTTTTCAAAAAGGGTGATATCTGTTGACAACCACTTGACTACAAAGACCATTGAACCTTTGAAAAAAAAAAAAAAAAAATTGCCGATACCATGGCTATGTGGAAATAATACAATTATCTGTTTTCAGAATCTCCAGGTGCGATCAAGAAACCAAAGATCGCTCCAGCCCTAAGGAAATCCTCTGTCGTCCAGGTTGCACCAAGTAAGTAATGCTAAAAACTGATTAACTAATTTGTCATATAAGATTATATACGAATAATTATAATTTAATTCGATTTTTAGGAGAGGCAGTAGCTAAGTCAAAAACCAGTGACCGACGCCCATGGTCTTCTGAAGAAAAGGAAGCCGTTTTTCAATTTTTCAAAAGTTCAATCAAACGAGGAGTTGTACCTGGAAAAGAGGATTGTACCAAATGTATACAAGAAAGTAATGGCATATTAGCGCTACGGTCATGGACTCACGTGAAATACTGCGTAAAAAATCACCTAGATATGATGAAAAAGCAAAGATCAAAGATTTTTTAATATTTATTTTCTATCCATGCTATATTTTTATTTTGTTTTTATATATGTATTTAGGTAGGTATTAGTTTTCAAGATGAATACATACTTCTTCAAATCTAGAAGAAAAAGTTTTTACTGAGAGTAAATTTTTCGTAATAAATGTAAAAATGTAGGAAACCATATACATTTTATTATTTTTTATAAGAATAAAGAAGTTTTGTTAGATATTTGTGTATTGCATTCATTGATTGGAAAATAGTATTTTTTTATTTAATTTGGTTTGATGGTGACAGGTAGGTTGGCTGCGAATTATTTATTTTTCTACAATCGCCCTTGAAAGTAGACTTTTTCGATTAGATTTGTGATCGCAAAGTAGACGTTTCCTGATGACCTTCACTTTGCCTCTTTAGAACGTCAAACTACGTCAAAGTCCTTGCGTTTGTTGCTTTAGAGCGGAGAGCGGCAAGGTATTAAAAACACTTGCTTGTCAAATAAACTGGTTTCTTTGAACCTGGACTATTTTTCATTAAATGCGATTGTAGAAAAAATCAAATTTGAGTTACGAGCAAAGAGCGCTTTTGCCGACCTCAAGATATTTGCCTCGCGATCCGTGTCAACGATATCTTTCGATCGGCAAAGACGGTAACGTACCATTTTGCGCTCTTGTTACACAAATAGCTATTATTGCATGGCAAAATTTACTTTGTCTATTGTCTCCTCTGAAAACAATCGACAAAGTTTTTGTCGATTGGCAATCGGAAACCGACAATTTGGCTTTCACATAACAAATCACAAAATGAAATTTTGTATGTACAGGCTTGGCCAAACAAGTTGTTTTCTTATGGGAGCACACTTTATTTGAAGATCAACAGATCACCCTATATAAAAACTTTTGACATTCTCCTATTCTGCTTGAAAAGTTGCTCCAGAAATGTTTTTTCTAATTTATCTCAAAAAATAAAAAAATTACGTAGCATCGTTCGAATCGCAGAGTTTCTACAAATGCCCTCTAGAGGTCGAACAATTGCAGATAGCCCATTTTCGTGCGAGTTTTCCATAAAATTTGAGCCCCAGAAACGGAGGTCGAAAATTTTCTATCTCTTCAAATAAGATGCCGTCCCATAAGAAAACAACTTGTTTGGCCCACCTTGTACGTTGTAGGGAATCTTTTTTTTTTTCTAAATTTTCGGAGCACCTTATAAAAATATTTTATTATCATTCATAGAATTATTCATTCAAATCCAGCAAGAAAAATGGTGGTTTGATTTTCTTATAAAAAAAAATTCCTTATGTGCCTGGGGACATCCTGTACATATATTTTATTGTTATAACATTTGGTTTTGATTTGTTTTTTTTTTCAGAATTGTAATCCATCTGTGTTGACAGAGTTTTGGATTATTTAGAACTAGTTAAGAACCGTTCTGGGATGGTTCTAGAACGGTTCTATCAGTTCTTGCTCTGAAGGAGGAACTGTTTTGAAATTTTATGATTTGCAAACGACGTAGAGCTTGCAAATCACAAAATCTCAAATCAGTTCCTCCTATTGTTATCTTCAATATCAGTTAATAATTATTACATGAGCAATAATATAGAATAATATAGCAATGAGAATACGATAAATTCAAAAACTTGCAGTTTCAAGTGAACTTTCCATTTGATTGATCGAAACGTGTTGGTTTTTTTGGCACCGAATCGGTTCAGAACTAGTATTAGAAAAGTCCTCCAATATTTTTTTGTGCGCGAGCAGTTCTGCCCAATCCCAGAACTGTTCCAAATTTCGAGACAAAACAAAACCAGTGAAAACTGAAAACATTAGATATGAGTAATCTTTTACAAATTATCATCTAATTATTCAGGTGCGACGCAAGAACTCCTCTCAATCTACTGGAAGGGTCTGCCAAGTGCATTTAGCTAGTTTTTTTTTTTGCTGCATATAGGGCTTTTAAATAAATAAAGTATGTGAAGTAATTATAGTTTTGCTTGAAATTTATTAAAAATAAAACATTAAACGTTGACAAATTTGTATAAATTAGCATAAAGAGTACAAAAAAGGCATTAAATATTATTAATTAATACATTTGTGATTACAATCCGGATTTTTACAAACTTCAATTATACATTCTATTACACAGTATTTATAAAAAACATGGAACGAATTTCATCCGATATAAACACCATAATGAAAGTGTGTAACGGTAAACCACCAGGCTTTTCATTCTAATAATAAAAAATTGAAGAAATCCAAAAGTTGAGAATCGCTTTAGGTATTACTCACCCAATAATTCATATTGTAGATCTCTTTTCCTTTTGTAGTCGTTTTCCGTAAAATGAATAGAGCAGATGTTGCTTGTGCAGTTGTTCCAGGGTTGTAACTTTATCGATTTTTTTGGAACGGAATATTAATTCCTTTCTAAATACTCCGGGAAACAAGATCTTTAGAGGCACAACGTGTGCCAGGCATTTCGGATAGACTTGCACACTAAAATTCAAAAAAATAAATCGAGGAAATACTACAGAAAACCCTTAACCTACCTCTGATAGTATCGAAAGCACTTTAAGGTCAAAAAACTAATTTATAAATTTCAAAATCACCTTTTCCACATTTAAATCGTCGAAATTAATAAACTCACAAGCACAGCCTGAATTGACAAGGGCTACAGGTGACGTCATCTGTTGACCGATCGTGCCTCAAGAACTGGCGAACGTACGTCTTATGAGCTTGGGCTATCCTAGTAATGTAAGGTTCTTGGGTATGTGTCCAAATTTCCTTGTTTTTTGCTGTCTTGGGTTTTTTATGCTGTATGAATTCAAATTGGAAGGACTATACTAAAGGTAAAGGGGGTTGAGACGGAAATTTCAATGTCCTGCAGTTTCAGTTTAAATAAATTATTATTTAACCTTTAGAGGGAAGGAGGTGCGCTCATCCCTAAATCCGTCTCTCCGTGTGGAAGTAAAACTAATTAGGCCTAATGCCTTATAAACCATGAGATAGCGTACCGGTGGGACTCGGTTTTTTTTTTCTCTGACATTTTGAGGGATGAATGTAGTTCGTTAGTTGATGAAAATAGGGGTGGTTTTAATGCCTGCCTCCTGTTCAAAAATTTTTCGAATTTACGTAAAACTATCTGATTTTTTCTGATCTCAAATTGTCTGGCAAAAATGCCAGACGATTATCAATGTTCGTAAAAATGGAGGGGTGGGTCGACTTGCAAGAAAAGAGTACCTACATTAACTGTCAAATTTTTTTTACTGTCTGGCAATCGATAGAATAAAAGATTTTGTCTTGAAAATAACGCAGAAAAAATACCAGACGGTAATTGCTTTTTTTATTGCTAAATTATCTATCAATGTCAATCTGCTATTCAAATGCCAGAAAATTTAAAAAACGAAAAGTTTCATGTAAATTAAAATTGACTTTCCGAATTTTCGAACAGGAGACAGGCATTAAAACCACCCATATTTTCCTCAACTAACGAACCATATTCAGCCCTCAAAATGCCAGACAAGAAATAATTACTCCACTCAAGAGTCCCTATCTCACGGTCCATTTCCCAAACAAATCAATTGTGATGGAATATTAAACAATCTCTAAACATGTCATTTGCTTCGACTTGGCAACACTGACCTAGCACACTTTTCGGTTACTATATAATTATGACGTCTTGAATTAACACAAATCATGTATCCCAATATTAATAACAACACCTTAACACATTGTCTGTAATGTGAGTATTGTGACAATGGTGTCACAAGTGAAAAACCAATACAGATTCCTTCCTACGGTAGGTATGCGTAGAAAACAAAGTTTGCGCTGACCAGCGCAGGATGGCGCATCAGGCAGCGCAGGTCTAATTAAAAGTGCTACAATTGAGGGTTATTCATGCGTTGCCACAACTATTGCGGGGCGTGTATGTGTGTGTGTGTGTGTGTGTGTGTGTGTGTGTGTGTGTGTGTGTGTGTGTGTGTGTGTGTGTGTGTGTGTGTGTGTGTGTGTGTGTGTGTGTGTGTGTGTGTGTGTGTGTGTGTGTGTGTGTGTGTGTGTGTGTGTGTGTGTGTGTGTGTGTGTGTGTGTGTGTGTGTGTGTGTGTGTGTGTGTGTGTGTGTGTGTGTGTGTGTGTGTGTGTGTGTGTGTGTGTGTGTGTGTGTGTGTGTGTGTGTGTGTGTGTGTGTGTGTGTGTGTGTGTGTGTGTGTGTGTGTGTGTGTGTGTGTGTGTGTGTGTGTGTGTGTGTGTGTGTGTGTGTGTGTGTGTGTGTGTGTGTGTGTGTGTGTGTGTGTGTGTGTGTGTGTGTGTGTGTGTGTGTGTGTGTGTGTGTGTGTGTGTGTGTGTGTGTGTGTGTGTGTGTGTGTGTGTGTGTGTGTGTGTGTGTGTGTGTGTGTGTGTGTGTGTGTGTGTGTGTGTGTGTGTGTGTGTGTGTGTGTGTGTGTGTGTGTGTGTGTGTGTGTGTGTGTGTGTGTGTGTGTGTGTGTGTGTGTGTGTGTGTGTGTGTGTGTGTGTGTGTGTGTGTGTGTGTGTGTGTGTGTGTGTGTGTGTGTGTGTGTGTGTGTGTGTGTGTGTGTGTGTGTGTGTGTGTGTGTGTGTGTGTGTGTGTGTGTGTGTGTGTGTGTGTGTGTGTGTGTGTGTGTGTGTGTGTGTGTGTGTGTGTGTGTGTGTGTGTGTGTGTGTGTGTGTGTGTGTGTGTGTGTGTGTGTGTGTGTGTGTGTGTGTGTGTGTGTGTGTGTGTGTGTGTGTGTGTGTGTGTGTGTGTGTGTGTGTGTGTGTGTGTGTGTGTGTGTGTGTGTGTGTGTGTGTGTGTGTGTGTGTGTGTGTGTGTGTGTGTGTGTGTGTGTGTGTGTGTGTGTGTGTGTGTGTGTGTGTGTGTGTGTGTGTGTGTGTGTGTGTGTGTGTGTGTGTGTGTGTGTGTGTGTGTGTGTGTGTGTGTGTG